TTTCCCTAGCTCCAGCCCTGTCCTCTTACAAGTATCTAAATAACTGTAGTCTCCCGAGACTCCCTGTGACCCCTGGGGGACCAGCGTATCCAGGAGGGGATGCCTTAGATTTGAAAACAATTGCAGACGAGGAGTTGTATACCAGACTAGAAGCCCAGCGCATGAAATCACGCGAGACCCAGACCCGGCTCGCCTAGGGACCCAGCGTCAAGTCCTGCCGGTGCCATGGGACCCATCTATGCACCTCCTGGTGACTGGTCTTTGGTTGTTACGGCGTTGCAACCACTGGATTTTTATTATATAGATTGGCTTATGTATTTATTTTGTCACATTTTTTTATCTGGGTTTTTACATACTTATCCTCACTAGTCCATATTCTTATGAACATATACCTCCGTTATTATGGTTTTCATAAATTTTATCAAGGGGATGGCCATTTCAGGCTGAAGACTTGGGTCTTATTTTAGTGCAGGACAGTGACCCGATATTTCTTGGGATGCGATTTGTGCTCCTTTCACTCAGCTCTCTTCCTTAGGACACCCGTTACTCGTGCGGTGGTTAGTTGTCTGGTCTCCGCTTTCTTCATCAGTCTGTCTCTCCAGTTCCTTTCATCTCTGCTTCTTGGCTTCTGGGTTCTGTTTTTCAAGCCTGGTCACAGGTCGCTGGTTTTCTGCGGCGTTGGTCCTGCGACTCATCCACTTCAAATGCCCTTTGAATTCTGCAGTCGGCATTGTTTGTTTCCTGTCATTCTTCCCTTAGCTTCTCAAGGTTCATTTTCTTTTTTGGTACATTTCCTTTGCCACTCACCTCTCAGCTCCTGTTTCTTAGGGTCCATGTGTCAATATCACTCTTGTTTTCTCCTTTTTTATCCTCTGAATTTCTTAGCTGTTCAAAGCCTGGGACTGAAAAGCCCGAGGAAAAGTCGGGTGTCTCCTGAGCTGTCTGGTTGGGACATTTCTGCTTATTTGCCTTCCGCCTTCTACACAGCACCCCGCCCTCCATGCCTTGTCATTGTCCTTTTTTTTTTTTGCCCTCAGCTAAGGAATTGATAGCAAAATTGGTGGATCCTGGTCACACCCATACACCTGTTGCTCACACTGTCCCACATTTAGGAATGAGGGGCTCTAGGGGGTGAGTGATGGGGAAGTAGTGACCCCCACATTAGAGCCACATAGGTGGTGTTTCAGGACGGGTTCTGAAGCTGATGCCCTGCATTCAGATCCCAGCTGGGCCACTTCCCAGCTGTGCAAACTTGGACCTGCAGTGTCACTCCTTGAGCTTCGGCTTCCTCATGTATACAGACAATGTGCGCCCATCTCGAGGGCTTTGGTGAGACATTAATGGGAAGGCATGTAACACAGCCTGTAATAGTGCATAGTCACCATCAGCTTAAAAAAAGAAAGAAAACGGTGTCCATGCTGTTGAGTAAGTCAGGTTAGATGACTTCCACCCATCACTCACTCCATTGTATCCGCCACGGTGGCCCTGCAGAGCCTTGCGCAACAGCGGGGGAAATGGGCTCTTTGGCATCTCCATCTCTTCCCAGGCCTCCTCTACATTTGGCCAACTCTTCCTCAAATCAGGGCACATCCCTGCAATTTTCCAGAATTTCCTCCACTTCCTCTGCACTATTTTGGGAAGGGAGATGTGGTTGGAGTCTGGGTGGTTCCCCATTGTCTGATTCTACTTGTGCCCCGAGGCAGGTGGTTGGCAGGTTCAGCCCCAATGAGCTTCCTTCCCCTCCCATTTCCTTCTGTTGTTTTTTAATCATCTTGTTCAGTTTCTGGTATGGGAGGGGCTTGTGACTACCTCATATACTGCCATGGCTTTTTAAAAATACCAGTTCTTTTATTATTTTCAAGTATAAAAACAATACATGGTTGAGGCATAAAGTCCAGAGAATGCCAAAAAGTAAGTCACTATCAGCTGCAATCAACCAGTCTAGTCTGGAGCAAGTCCTTGGCTTCCCACTCATTGCCCTCCCCTGCGGTCCCACCTCAATCACCGGGCCCACCCATTGCAAGGTGGCTCTATCCTCTATGGTGTCCCAGTCCTGACACCTCACCCAGGGGATGGTGGAAGATGACATGGATGAAAGTGGGCCATGCCTGTGGTGGAACTGTTTTCTTTGTGCAGGAAATGAAGAAGACTTGGGGACATGGGGAAACTAATAAATCACAAGGCTTTCCTAAATCCAACCAGACAATTAAAACACTCAATTTTACTTTTGGGGAAAAATATTTAAATGAAGGCAGGCTGTGAGGAGAAGGCCTGCGTGAAAAGAATGCTCAGCTTGAAGTTGGAAACCCTGGATTAGGGACTTATTTGCTCCACATATTTATTTAACCTCGCCACCATGCGAGTTCTGAGAGCAGCCATAATAGACACTCAAGCAAGCCTGTGAGGATTAAAAAGGAGATTCAGGGTGCTTAGTAAATACTCAAACTGCATCTTCATGCCTGTGTTTTTTACCTGTGTGTGTTTTACCAGTTTTTATAACCTGCTGCTGTAAAAGGATCTCATTCAAACTCAGAATGTCACCCCTATGATTCAGGAGGGTAAAGGCAAAAACACTTGTGCAGTCACCTTGATTCTGTCTTGTCGAGAGCTTTCCTGGCACGGTGCTAGAGATGAAAAGAGCAAAGTCCCGCTCTCCGGGAGCTCCCAGAACACAGTGGGAAGTTTGTGCCACACACAGAGTGACTAGCTCCCAGAAGGTGGTGTGACAGTTGGGGGAACTTACCTGAGAACCAGATGAGCCGAACTGGGTTTTAAGGGCGAGGGAGTATCCCTAGGGACACAGGAGATCCCAGGCAGAGGAAAGAGCATATGCCACGGAGGGGAGGTGCTGAAAAGCCCCCATCCATACTCTACCCTGGGGCCAGGTGGGTCCTTGGTGGGTGGGACTCAGAGCCTGTGTTGGGGTACCAGGCACCAGTGGGGTCCAGGCTGTTTTTGATCACTTCATGGGTTGGGTTTTACTAATCTGTGTCTGCCTTTGGAGGAGCTGCGTGGATCCTGCTTAAGAGGTGAAGGAAGCCCTAACCGGTTTGGCTCCGTGGATAGAGCGTCGGCCTGCGGACTGAAAGTGCCCAGGTTCGATTCCGGTCAAGGGCATGGACCTTGGTTGCAGGCACATCCCCAGTAGGAGGTGTGCAGGAGGCAGCTGATCGATGTTTCTCTCTCATCGATGTTTCTAACTCTCTATCCCTCTCCCTTCCTCTTTGTAAAAAAAAAAAAACTCAATAAAATATATTAAAAAAAGGAGAGGTGAAGGAAAATGGGAGGAAGGTTACGGGGCTAAGTGGCAACCCCCAAGTGCAAGCTGAGCAAGGAGCCAGGTGTTTAGAAGCGGCCTGTGCCCTCTCTCATCTGCCCTCTTGAATCAGCTCAGCAACAATGTTTATTCTGGAATCAGCCAACCATGGAAACTCCTTATGATGGAAAGCCACGCCTGCCCCCCTCCCCCACAGCCTTCCAGGGCGTGGGATGGGTGGAGCCTCCAGGCTCCAGGTCACCTGTGAGCACTTGATGATATGATTTCTCCTCTCCCTTCCTCTGTCCTGCAGCAATGGAACGGCAGGGACACAGCGCTCATGGTCACCCGCGTGGTCAACCACAGGCGCTTCTCGGCCACGGTCAGTGTGGCGGACACTGCCCAGCGGAGTGTGAGCAAATACCGCTGCGTGATCCGCTCGGACGGTGGCTCCGGCGTGTCCAACTACGCTGAGCTGATCGTGAAAGGTGAGTGTCACCAGCCCTGCCTCTCCCCACCCGGTGGGTGTATGAGGGTTTCTTGGCTAAACCCCTGCAAAGGAGGGATGAAGGGGCCTTTGCTCATCTGCTGCTTCTCCTCCTCTCATTCAGGAGCCATAGACACAACTTCCAATCCCACCTCCCCCTCCTAAAAGAGAGACACTTTTGTAAAGTCATGCAATATTGCCTTGTTATTCAGAGTTGGGTCTTATTTGTAGGATCTATATTTTAAAGTCTGGGCATAGGGAACAGAGAAGACATCTCCGCATTCGGCTTCATGTTGCACTTTAGAAGAATCCACGTCCTTGTGTGTTGGTGGCATTTTGTTGAAGCGTTCAGAGAATGCAGTCATTTCTGAGGGTTTTTTTAAAAATTGAAAACATGATATAATGGCAGTATTTTGGAAGGACTTTTGAAATCAGTAATTCCTCGCCCCACTGGCCTTGATTTCATTCTTTTCAGTTTTCCTGTTCACCTTGAAGTAGCACTGATACATCTCTAGTGCAGTATGCTCATTGCTTCCCTTTCTGCTTCTCAAGGAGCTGGGTATTCCCCTTATCCTTGGAGGGCTGTGTAATCTTCGTAGTAACGCTTAATGGCTGTGTGCTATTTCATCCAGTGGGTCACCTAGTATTTTCAAATCTGTTTATACGCCTTTAGGTAATTCCAGGTGTTTTTGTTTGTGCATCTTTCCTCTGTGCGTGCAACAATGAACTCCTCAACGGTGTTCCTCAGAAGAGAACATTTTTATTCTATTGAACAGGATTATTCCCTTGGATAAATTCCCTGGGGGTAGAGCTGGTGGGCCAAAGAATATGAGCATTGTTATGGATTTTCTTTGTTTTGCAATATTGCTTCTGCAAGAAACCGTTTGACACGTTACACTGGCAACAGCAGCATATGAATGTACTCATTTCCCTGCGTTATGTTCACCGATTAAAATTTTAATATAGCATAATTTAGTGGATGAAATAATGAAGCTGTTCTTCTCATGTGAGCTGTGGAATGGTACCTGGTGTGTTTGAAGGTAAAAGCATGATCACCCCCGCTCCCCCAGAAGGCTCCTGAGTGTGTTTCCTTGGCTGGTATGAAACCCTTGCCCTCTCTTTGCTGGCCCCATGGAGCTGGTGGCCTGTCCTGGGCCAGACTGGGGTTTGCAGTCTGGGATTCTCTCTCCTGGGCTGTCCTGACTCTGTGTGTGTTCACATGGCTGACTCCCGGCTTCCCTGGCCCCCCATTCTGGTGATTGCATTCTTACATCACCCTGCCTCTTTTTCTATATAGCAACATCACACTTCAACATTACAATTTTCCTTGGTTTCCTGGTAATTTCCTGTCTCATCCTTCAGGATATAAGCTCTGTGAAAGGAGGGGCATCTTGGTTCAGAATAAGCCCTTGGAGCTTAGCGGAGAGCCTGGCCCAAGTGCTGAGCAACAGAACCACACCCATATGAAACCGCGTGTTTGACTGTGTGGACCTGCGCAATCCTTCGTTTCAGCAGGCTCACCCTTAAAACCTTTGTTGAATGATGGATGAGTGAATGGATTATTGGC